TCTTCAAGCTGATGGCAAGTCTATAAGGTGAGGTGTTATTCTTTTTGAGTTAAAAATGTGATTTTTTTTTTTTGTTTTTTTTAAGGTTGTTGTGTTTCTTATGTTCTTGGTTGTTCTCTTGTGTGTTTTTGGATTGTTGGTGTCAGTGCTCATGTTAATGCGTGTAGCCATTATTTTGGTCTTTCTGGGGTGCTGCTAATTTGAGATTCATCGTTGCTGAATGGCTTCAAAAGAGGCCCATTATTTTTTTGTCTGCATAACCCAACCCCTGAAGTAATGTAGTGTTAGTATTATTCTGTGTTGCTGGTGACTGAAAAAGAAGTGTGTGTGAGAGAGAGAGAGAGAAAGAGAGAGGAAAAGCTGTTGAATCGGATGTGGTCCTGCCTTTGAATTGTGTAATTTTTTATTAGCTTGTGGTCCAGGTATTGGTAAAGTTGGAGTTCCCAGCGTGTTAAATCATGGCGAAATGTGTATTACTATAACTTTTTTTGAAACAATATTATTATTAATTGCTGTGCCTGCATGTGACTTCACTGCTGTAGTTAGATTATGGTTACCATTACCACCTTGTGTGTGTATGGAGGATAAGGTTTGGGAATTTCACTTGTGGATGGATTCTGTGTGGATTTTCAGCCTGTTATGAACCGTATGCGACAATGAAATGTCACCTGTCATGCATGTGGTCTGTGTATTTTAACTGAAAAGTGAGAAACACGTTTGGACATTTGACATTATTATGGATGTTCCTCCAGTTAGTCGTTTTGCTGGAGATTTTTAATGTGTTGAATTTTCTGCTCTGTAAAAAGAAGTTTCTTTGTACATTAGATAAATAAAATTGAATGGCTCCACAATCCCTTGAGAGCAGAGATTGGAGCTATCTGGTATTTTTTCGGAGGGGGGATGTGTATGTCATAAGTTGTAACTGATGAACGCTTTTGGATTTTGGAGCTATTTGATTGCTTTCAAGATGTAAAACATAACTAATTTTTTGTCACATTATGGCGAGGAACATGCATATCTGTTAAATGCTTCTGGCAGTAAGTTTTTGACTTCCTGAATTAATTTTTCTCCTGTTCAAATTTTGTGATGATGTGACATGTATCTGGCATGCATACATTGGATGTGGCTTCATTTTATTTTGGGGTCCAGGGTTCGGTGATTCCCTCCTTTTCATGTTTTTTCACCGCTTGAATGATTTTCCCTTCTTTATAAGCTAAGCAATTTATTTTCAATTTATGTAGGTATATATCATCTGAATTGGCTACAGATATTATAATAACTGTTGGTGAAGTTAAGTTTCACCTACACAAGGTATGAACCTTTTCAGCATATTTGTTTTTTTTTCCCTCTCAAATAAGAAAATTCATTATTTTAATATGGGATAATAACGGTGCCACCCCTGATGTTAGTGTTAATAGCACTGACATCCGGTTTTGTTTGGAAAATTACACTTGCTTCCCTCGAGTCCTTATTTTTAAGGGGACTTGTGTATGGTCCCCTCATATGAGTAGGGAAGGTATGTGATTCTTTAAACAAAGTGTGTCAAAATGATAGAACTGTACATAAAGTAAGGGGGTAAATGTAATTTTTCAATCAATAAGGATCCAAGCTTAATGAATTTAACCTCTAGGGAGATAAGTGTAATTATCCCTATAATTTAATTAATCAGGTAGTGGTATTATAGTTATGACAGCAAATGTTTTTAGGAGTCAGTTATATAACTAGCAAGTTACAGTTACCTTGGAAATATTTTATTGTTTAACAACACCATCACTTACAATTTTGTAACGTAGTGTTTTCTATGGACTGAGTTGAAAGATTAGAAAGTCTGAATTTGTTAATAAGACCTCCTCTGTGTGTATTTTACTTTGTGTTGAGTTTACATTTCATTTTATAATCTGTGGTTTTTATGGAGACACAACTAGCTTTTTGCTTCCTCCTTTTGTTGTTTATTGATGATGACTTTTCTTGAGTTGCAGTTCCCTCTACTGTCTAAGAGTAATCAATTACAGAAGTTACTGTCAAAGGCGAATGAAGAGAGTTCTGATGAAATTCAGTTGGATGGTTTTCCTGGTGGCCCCAAGGCCTTTGAAATATGTGCAAAGTTCTGCTATGGAATGACTGTTACTCTTAATGCTTACAATGTTGTGGCTGCTCGTTGTGCAGCTGAGTATCTTGAGATGACAGAGGATATTGATAGAGGAAACTTAATTTTCAAAATTGAGGTGTTTCTTACTTCAAGTATCTTCCGTAGCTGGAAGGATTCTATAATTGTTCTTCAAACTACTAAATCTCTTCTGCCATGGTCTGAGGACCTAAAGATCGTTGGGAGATGTATAGATTCCATAGCCTCTAAAACTTCTGTGGACCCATCAAACATCACTTGGTCTTACACTTATAACCGGAAATTGTCAGAGCTTGATAAAATTGGTGAGGACAAGATAACACCTCATGACAAAATTGAGCCTGTTCCTAAGGATTGGTGGGTTGAAGATATATGTGAGCTGGACATTGATCTTTATAAACGGGTAATGATTACTGTCAGATCTAAGGGAAGAATGGACGGAGTTGTGATTGGCGAGGCATTAAAAACTTATGCTGTAAGATGGTTGCCTGATTCCGTTGATGCATTGGTTTCTGATGCTCATGCTCGGAGGAACAAATCTCTGGTAGAAACAATTGTCTGTTTATTGCCATGTGATAATGGCATGGGCTGTTCATGTAGTTTCTTGCTTAAGTTATTGAAAGTGGCCATATTAGTTGAAGCGGATGAATCATCAAGGGAACAATTGTTGAAGAGCATTGGCCTAAAATTGCATGAAGCTTCTGTCAAAGATTTACTGATTCCAGCAAGGTTTCCCCAGATCACCAAATATGATGTTGATTTGGTGCAAGATCTTTTGAATCTATACACGACTAACATAAAGGGCAGTTGTGATATGGAGGTTGAGGATAAGAAAGATAAAGCAAATGATGAATCTATTTTAGGGCGGAGGCCTTTGTTGAATGTTGGCAAGTTGGTAGACGGTTATCTTGGAGAAATTGCATATGATCCAAATCTCAGCCTCTCTAGTTTTGTTCATTTGTCACAGTCAATTCCAGAGTTTGCTAGACCAAATCATGATGGTCTGTACAGAGCTATAGACATCTACTTAAAGGTATGATTTTCTAAACATTGAAGTATAGAACCATCCTATGATAAAAAAATGATTTGACTTGACTGACAGTCTGTCTTTGCTTTGCTCTTATCTTTGTTATCTTGGATAAAATTATTTTTAATTATTTGATTGATTCCCTCATGACATATCCTATATATTGAGTAACGTGACTCTTTTCTTTTATTCTATTATAAATTGTTATGATTATCAAACAGAAGTTTGAAATCTTATATAAATGAGAGCTTGTTGTTATGCTGGTGCAATGCTTAGCAAGTTACACATCTAAACTCTAGCAAGTTTCTACTGTTGCATTACTGTAGTTGTTGCTGCTTAGCTTAATGTTTATATGTTGTAATGACTAAGAAATGATGAGCCTGTAATGGTTAAGCCTTAACTAACTGATTACATTTTTTTAAGTATTCACTCGGGTTTTTCATCTTCAGGAGCACCCTGGTTTGTCAAAAGCTGAAAGGAAGAAGATATGCGGACTAATGGATGTCAAGAAATTGACAGTGGATGCATCAATGCACGCCGCACAGAACGAACGCCTTCCTCTTCGAGTTGTGGTGCAAGTTCTCTACTTTGAGCAGATCAGAGCTGCTTCAAATGCTCGTGCAGCTAGTAACAATCCGCGCGATTCTTCAACTGTTAATGGAGATGAGGAGTGTGAGAAAACTGGGAGAGAAAGCTGCCAATCCCTCAACAACCAGATGTGTCACGTGAAGATTAGAGATGATGAGTTCCACAAGAATGGAAAGTTGAACAAGAAGAGTAGCAAAAACAGCAGAAGTGGCATGCAGCTGCTGCCATCTAGGTCAAGGAGAATCTTTGATAAGTTGTGGATTGTGGGCAAAGGACAAGGAGAGAATAGGAGGAGCTCAGAGACTTCAGGGAGTTCCAATAGCCCTACTTCTGTAGTCCCTGGAGATACCAAATCATCTGGTTCATCATTGAGACACAGGAGGCATTCTATCTCTTAGGGAAATTCATAATTTAAACAGGTGAAGGAGAGTTAAAATTGCTGTGAAGTGTAAAGTGTTAGGATGTTAATCTTGTATTTTAATGCATGCATGCACAGAATCAGGGAAAGGTCTCACTACTAGAGTTGCAAAAAAATGTAATGACATTGTATTGTGTCTTATCTGTGTATCATCATGGCTAGTAGTGTATTGTCTTCAATCCTTCAGGAATCTTCATTGGGGTAGGGATCTTTAGGTTTTATTCAGTGCTGCTGCCCTTTTGTATAGAATCACGATCCTTAATTACAGGTGATGCTTTGTGGATTCCTGTTTTTATTTTGTTTTCAATTCATGTTATTAAACCCATATAATATGCAAAATGTTTACGTTTGAATTTTGTCGCTGTCTTTGGAATTTACATAATAAAATAAAAATTGATGTAAGTGATGAGGCTGTGGAAAGTAATACTAGTATCCTAATTCAATGGTCTGCATGTGGGTGATCATCAATGGCTGGATCTCCATTTTAATAAATAGGTTGGCTAGCACTCTAATAATTGGATCTATACTACAATACCTAGTAAGATGACGTATCCTAAGAACCAAAAGAATCTTATGTTATTATTCTATAAAGAAGAAATAAGGATAGCTTTTGGGCCTATGGCCCTCCTTATCACCAAAAGAAGAGAAGATTAATTAAATCAATCATACTTTTTATTTTAGTCACGTTGTTGTTTTTGAAAATTGTTAAACAATGTATGTTGTAAAATAAAACAAATGGTATGTATTGTAAAATAGATCAAATTTCTATAAATAGGTTGTGTTGGATTTTAGCTTTAAAACCAAAATTGTTTATACAATAAAATATAAATTTATATATGAAATTGATTTGACTCATGTACTTATAAAAGAAAAATGCTAATAACAAACTTCCCCACTCGTGTACATGGATGAAATTTATGAATTTCATTTCTCATTTGTTTTCATTATGGGTATGTATGGAAAAATTGTGAAAGTTAAATTATTTTAATAATTAATCATGTGAATAATTGATTATGATCAAAATGAAATTTTGTTTGAGTAAATTGATTAAAAATCTATTTTAAAATATTTAATTTAGTTTAAATATAATAAAAAAATTAATTTTTATATGGTAAAAAGAAAAAAATTATTAAGAAATAATCATAAGTCAAATTTTTAACTTCATAAATCAGATTTCTTTTTTTAAAAAAAAATTGTTTACAAAATCAAGTTATTCACAGACAACTGTTTTTTTGCAAACAGTTTTTTTAAAAAATAATTTGAAATGAGAGATTTAATTCTCCCAAACAGCAAACACCAATGAGAGATACTGTGTATTTTTGGGCCACATAAAGAAAGTCTTGTAAACCCAACAAACCCTAAGGAGTATTCGGGTTACATTTATGGGCCTTCTAAAACCCACTCGGACCCAAATTAGTTCCCGAGGGAAAGCGTTCTTCAATTCCAGAGCTGGAGCTTCATTTCGGAGTAACACTGCAAAGTACAAACATCAAACACCTTCTCTGCACACAAAATCTAGAAACCAGAAAGAGAATCGAAGATGCAGAGGTTCAAAGCTCTGCTTCCGCAAACTAGGTTCTCACTTCGCACTCTCTGTTCTCATCGTCGAACATTCTCTGCTCAACCAAATTATGCAGAGCACCACGACGACGATTCTCAGCAACAGGTCACATTTCTCAGACGCTTTCACTGCGTTTTTTTTTAATTCTATTTTTTGCAATTTTCTTTTTCAATTTACATGTTTGATTCCAGATTTTAGTCGAAGGAAGAGCGAAATCGCGAGCCGCTATTCTCAACAGGCCGTCTTCGCTGAACTCGCTCACTGCTTCAATGGTACGGTGTCGTTTATCGTTCACTTCGCGTTTTGAGTTCATTCCTCTGAGGTAAACGCCAAGTCGTTTTTCATTTCTTAGGTTGCTCGATTGAAGAGGCTGTATGATTCCTGGGAAGAGAACTCTGATATTGGTTTTGTTTTGATGAAGGTATCACTGTCGTTTTCACGCCAATGAGTTTCCACTGAACTAAGCAACATAGTGATATTATCGTTATGCATACTTAGTTCCTTTTTGCTAGTTTGTTTGTAGTTTTATATATTTTTATTATGTTTTTTGATATTGGTTATTGTGTTGAGTATGAGTTGCAATCTTGAATGTTTTGAAGGGTAGTGGTAGAGCTTTTTGTTCTGGTGCCGATGTTGTTAGGCTGTATCACTCACTCAATGAAGGTGAGTTTTATTTTAATATTTTACGGTATTAATTATTTGATAAACAAGTACGTTATCTTTTTAATTAAAATAGCTTCAATCGTTCAAGTGGATACATCAATTTCATGAGACATGTGCGTTCCATTTTGAGTGATTTATCCAATTACCGTTTGTAACTTTTCTTATGTTTTTTTCATACCGAACATACATGTCATTGTCTAAGTTCTATCTAAAACAACAGTTGATTGAATTGCTTTCTTCAATGTGCTTCGTCTATAGGGTTAGTGTGTGCTTGTTGTTCTGGATAAAAAAGTTTGAGTTACTAAATTCAGTTGGTTATTGCAGGAGTGGAAGCGTAATGTTTGTTTTATATTTATGTTTCTATTCCTTCTGTTAAGTAATATGAAGGGTTGTTTGTTACTTCTTGTCTTCATCCAAAATATGATGTTATTTTGCTTTAATATCAACACCTTCCTCTGTGTGTGTGTTTTGTTAGATGATGCAGACACTTTTAATTTTCAGTTGCTTCTTCATGAGAGGACCATTTACGTTCGTTCGTGACAACATTTTTCTGTTTATAATGAACAGGAAATACTGACGAAGCTGAACAATTTTTCAAAACATTATATTCATTTGTATATCTTCAAGGGACATATCTTAAACCACACGTAAGTATTGAATCATTAAGTGTTTTATTCGAGATATTGAACACTTTGGATTGGAGAAGTGATATTGATATATGCATAATATAATTATTCTTGCATATGTTCTTTACTCTTCAGTGGAATAATATTGGTCCTGCTAAGCAAATTGTCAAACATGAGAGTTTAACTAAATTTGTGGAGGGTTGGTAAACTTGACTCTCGTAAGAGTTTACCGTATACCAAAATAATATTAAATAATATTATCTAAGTATCCAAACCAAATATTATACCATAAAATAATTAAAAAGCCAACATTCCAACTTCTCAATAAAGTATACCACTGTAACAAAGGTATGTTAATACAGACATTCTCAATAATCAAAGTTATGAAATTATCAAATTTTGGTTCATATATGTTGCAAAAAAATAAAAAATAAAAAATTATACTTTTAATAATAACAAAACCAAATTAATTGACAAAAACAAAAATTAAATAACAGAGAACAGGGATGCTGGCCTTTCTGTTTAGACACAGGTTTCAGTTTTAATAATATATGAAGGCCATCAAGGGCTTAAGGCACACCTTTAGCTTTCTGTGGCATGGAGGTTAGAAGAGTGTGGTTGGTCTTTCTGGGTGTTGCTGGCTTCCAATTGTTAGGGGTGTTCATCAGCCTAATGAACCTATCCAATCTAATGCAAACTGCAATAACCTAACTGAAAAAATCATTTTTTTTCCTTCAATAGATTGGACTCAGTCCTCTCAGGTTGTTGGCTTCCTGTTGAGGCCATCACATGGCATGGGCTTTACAGATGTGGGCGTAGTAGATCTGTTCGCGGTTGGCGGCTGGTTGCAGGTGAAGAATGGTCAGTGCCACATGTATGGTTGTTAAACTCTAGTTTTTACTCACAAGTCACAAACAAGTGCAAGGTGCAAGTTTATGAGTAGACACCTAAATTGCACAATTAGGGCTCACTTTTAGATCTCAGTTCTCTCACATCCTCTCTTACACCCTTCCTGTCTCTTGAAATGGTGAAACAGGTCCAAGGTTTTCTGTTCCTAGTGCTCTCATATTGCACAATCAATCATTTTCCTTCCTGACATTTTTGTCGTTCCTCTCTGCCTCTCCCTCGGTCTGTTGATTCATTTGTGAAGCTTAGTGAATCAGTCTTCCTTTGCCCAATTACACTCTTTTAAAGTATAGAGAGTAGAGACCTATTGAAATTTTCCAAATAGTTGAGACTAACAAATTAATTTAGCCTATATTCAATTAGGAAATAGAACTATGTAAAGAGATTTGTCTCCACTTGGAAAGGGATATTTTTCAGTAGATTGATGGTACCTACGTAGGTGAGAGTGAACTTCTATTGCAATGGCAAAGTTAAATCTATTATTGAATATTGAAGTAAACCGAAAATATTATTCACTGAAATTGATTACAAGATAATAAGTCTCTATTTACAACACCCATATTACTACAGAGTACAGAGCGTCAACAGATAAGTTAGTTATAACTTGCTGACAATGACAGTTATAACAAACTGAAGGGAAACAGCTAATACATCTTGACAGCTGACATAGTTACGACTATACAATAGCAAAGGAGTTATTTATTCACATTGAAAAGAAGAGGGAATAAAAAGGAGAATATTTAAGAAGAGAGTTGAAAATTTCTTGAAAGTTGAAACAAATCCTTATGCTAATTTAAAATAAGATGAACTTTAAATACTTAAACACGTTTGTGTAGCATTTAAAGCTACTAGCAAGATGATTATGCTTGAAAGTTTTCTTATGCATGCATTATTTATGTACATAGGGTCATATACTGTATCATAGTGAATATTGTCACAGCATAGTGATTTACAATAGGTCTCTTCTCTATTTGATGGCTTTTTTGAGTTTTCTTTTTCTTAAACTTCAAAAGCTTCTTGGGAACCTGTATGAAGATTTTATGGCCATTTATGCAGGTTTCCATTTTGGATGGAATAACAATGGGATGTGGATCTGGAATTTCTCTACCAGGGATGTTCCGCGTGGTAACTGATAAAACTGTATGTGATTTCTTTATATGCTCACTCACTCAATAGATTGTTTTCTTTGTGCAATAAATGCAGGCAGCTAAATTTTTTTCTGCTTAAACTTTCCAGGTTTTTTCTCACCCAGAGGCTCAAATAGGTTTCCACCCAGATGCTGGAGCTTCTTATATTTTGTCTCGTCTACCTGGCTACTTGGGTAACATACAATTTTTATGCTATTTGAAAGCTGGACTCCTTCATAACACTTTTGATACTCTTTTTACTGAAAGGTCTAATTATTTTAGAATTATTAAAAAGATTTCTTTTTTAAAAAAGAACTTAGAGCAGAAATCATGAACTAATCCTCAGTAGGATAACTACACAGTTGAAGAGCAATATTTGTTGAAGATATTTTCTGAAGAAGATAATTTTCATTTTGTCTAAAAGAGCCCAATTCCTTTCTTGAAAACAAAAGGTTTCTTCTTTCTACATCTTTTGGTTTAGATTTGGACCAGAAATAGGACAATGTGGTAGATTTTGTTGCTGAAGCTGCCTTGATTAGTATCCTTTGGGTACAGAATCAGTGCCTTAAATTGATTTCTTTTGTTTTGAACTTTTATATATTACCAATGCTAAAATATTTTATATGACTATATACATGCCTATTATTTTTAATAAGGATGACTGGATGAGTACTATCTGTGTGCAAATTTCCTACAGAGTTTTTAAACTGCTGTTATTATGGACAAAATTTGTTGTTTTCATATTCTTTGTTACTGATGCTATTTTAACGATGATAGACTATTGATCACTATTTTTCTTCTCAATGCTAAATATTTTTTTGTTGAAAATATTTTATATACGAAAATCAAATCTTCTCTATGGTGCATAGAGTAAAGATTCTATTATCCACAATGATCTCAACCCCTGCGTAGCTCTGTATTGATCTTTGATCCCTTACAAAACATGTTCTACTGTATATTTAACAACCATCTATTTCCAAGAGCAGCAGAATATTGATGATTTAACTATTGTTTTAAACTTGTGATATTATTCTTCGTAGTGAAGCAGAAAATGATTCCCAGAAATTTATTTATTTTATATTATGTTATACAGGGGAATACTTGGCCCTTACAGGAGATAAGCTTAATGGTGTTGAAATGATTGCCTGCCGCCTTGCTACTCACTATTCACTAAATGCAGTATGTTTTTCTCTGTTTTTTGCCTCTTTGTTGCCTACTTTTCCTTTGCTTACATTTTTTGGTTTCTCCTGTCAGAGGCTTTCTTTGCTTGAAGAACGCCTTGGTAAACTGATCACAGATGAACCTTCTGTTGTGGAGGCATCCCTTGCACAGTATGGTGATCTTGTTTATCCAGATAGGAGCAGTATCCTTCACAGGTAGAGTTTATGATGTCTAGTGTAATTTTTTTGGGGACTGTCATGGTCCCATTATAGCTCAGTTTTGGCCCGATGGGTCCACAAACCTCTGTTCAAATAATTGCTAAAATCTACTATTTAATTCCAGGCAAATGCTAACCGGTGCCCTTACATAAATCATACTTCTAGGTAAATAATTGAGAAAACATTATCATTTCAGAAATGTAAAAATCATTCAAAGCACTTTTTTTAAGTAATCGGAAGTATTTAATAGGGCGTATTTAATGCTCCTCCGTCTGTATCTTTTAGGCATTCATTACCAGGTTCTCTATATTTTATTGCTATTTTGTTACTGTGACGGAACTTAAACATTTAAAATTCTGAAAACAATGCAATTGAGTGAATAAATTAAACAGTGTGTAATGGTAATATTTCTTCTTAAAATACAAGTGATGAAATCCTCTTGGATTTTTGTGTTTGATTATTTGATTATTCAGCTGGTGACGATAGTTATCTTTAACGTTTTCAATAGTGAAAAATACCTCAACAGCATATGGGCACTTTGATGAATTGTTTGTTTTATTGGGGACAATACCTTTATCTGAATTAGCTCTGTACTTGCATATGTGCTAATAGATGGCTTCACTATTTACTGCTGTATGCTAAGAAGATATGAGAAATTGTTTTGTTAACGTGTGTTTAGAGTGAAATAGGTGAGAAATGAAAAGTAGGGTTGTGTAGAAATACGTGGGTTAGGAGAAAAAAAAAGATGTCGGATTTACACCTTTTTATTTCCTCACAAAAACGGGTGGAAATTATAGTGTGCACATTTAATCGATTATCAACAGTTTTCAAGAAGCAGAATTGTTTGTTTGTTTGTTTGTTTTTTATTTTATTTTATTTTAATCGATTAATTAAAAAAAAAAACCAGTTAATTTAAAAGCCAATTTAAAAATTTATTTTTATTTTATTTTTGTCTTATTTCTTTCATATTTTTCTTAAATTAAACCCCCCTATTTGTACTCTATTTCCATTCATTTTATTTCTTTCTTCTATTTTCGTCGTTTTATTTTTCACTCATTTTTTTTATTATACCAAACACACCCGTTAGGCAATTTAAATGACGTTGGTTTGGATATTATATTTTGTATTGGTTTCGTCTGTATCACTTTATGCTTGTGCAGAGATGTTGTCTACCCATCTTTCTTCTCCTTCCTCCTTGCATTAAGGCTATGTAACGCCTTAGGCAACAGGGGGCAATCACTTATGGCCGGCCAGTTGGCCACCAATCACAGCCTCTAAATAACATTTTATACCTTTTATAGATTTTACCTATTGTTAATTTGAGTTCTTATATGATAACTTTTATTAAAAATATCTTTTTTATGTCATTGCTATGATATTCTGAATTTTCTATCCATTAATAAATGTATACTATTTTTTTTTGTGAAAAGTAAAACCATCTACCCCTAAACTTTCTGGTGTACCTAATATTCTAAATTTCTCCATTTTCTATTGCCTTTCCATCTCACTCTTGGATCTCGTTTGTCTTTCTACCTTTCTATTACATATTGCTAATTTGTTATTATGCTTCAGTTCATGCTGGTCTTTTGTTTTATTTTCCTATTCATTTGAAGATAGGTGAATATTTGAAGTGACCAAGTGAGTCATGGAGGTGTTGAGGAGTTGAAAAGTGGAAGAGAATATTCTGAAATGTTTTTCTCTTATTCAAAATACAGAAAAAGTTGTAAATATAAATAGGCATTAGAGAGTTAGGATGAGATAAGGAAACTGCATGTTATGAAGAGGTTTAGAACCGATGTGTATGAGGAGAGTAACACCACTATCCCTTTTTAACATGAAAATAGTCCAAAAGACACTCGATAGCATGGGCAGATATCTTATTGTGACCTGGAGAAAAATCATGAACAAAACATATACAACAAAAAACAGAAGGGGTAATAGAGCAAAGGGGTTCTCTAGGGAACAATGCACTGAGCTGATATCATATTTATACTATAATGTCACAAGAAATATATACAGAAATGAATGATATATGAATCAGAATCTAGAAAATAGAAATGAATCTATAGGTCTATTCAGATTAACTTCTCCATAAACATTTATAGGAAAAGAAATAGGAAAGAAAAATGAAATAAATTTCCCCATAAACTAATCCGTGAAAGCTCTCTCATATTAGCTTTACATATCATTTTTCCTTCCTATTCTAGAAGTGCATATAGAAATAATTATCCAAACAGGCTCCAAGAATTACACAACTATAATGAACATAGAATTCTGAACATTGTAATTTGTACTAATTTCTTCACAGTAGTCTGATTTTTCTAATTTTCAGCTTCTGAGTGTTTCTTTTTTGATTCAGGATTGACACTATTGATAGATGTTTCAGTCACGAAACTGTGGAGGAAATTATCGAAGCTTTGGTAAGCATTGTATTAAATCTTTACATGATCTTTGTGAGTCTGGAATGGATGGAGTTGAATTAAATTTTTTTTTGACATATTTCAACTCATAATGAACCACAATTACAATATTTTTGTGAAATTCATTGAATAGCTACTGCCTACCTGTTGTTATACTTTTTTGTTTCTCTGTCAAGTCGTTATTTTTTTTTTTTTTATGGCGAGTTAATTTTCCTGAAAGGCTCCATGGTATATCTGTTTTCATCTTCTCCCTTCCTGCCACCAAAAAAACTAAAAATAGGCATTTTGGTACAAGGAACCTTGTTTTTTTAGAAAGTAATGGAGCCAACTTAACCAAGCATAAATTTAAACAACATAGCAGAAAAGTAGGCAGTGGACTGAACATTTCAGATTTTTTAGAAGAAACAGGTGGTGAATATTGTTAACGTTTATACTGCATTTTGATATTTCAAAATGAAATTTTATTCGGTAAGGAGAAAGAGGCTGCCGAGTCTTATGACGAATGGTGCTCGACTACTCTAAGGAAAATAAAAGAAGCCTCCCCTTTGAGTTTGAAAGTTATTTTACGATCTGTGAGTTACCATTTCCCTTGCATGGTTATTTATTTCCCTTCGAAGGTGTTAGTCTTCTTCATTAACCTCTTCTACTTGATCTATAGATACGTGAAGGTAGATTTGAAACTCTTGATAAATGTCTTGTACGTGAGTACCGCATGTCCCTACGTGGAATTTCTAAGCATGTCTCCTCTGACTTTTTCGAAGTAATGATTTTTCTGTATCTTTTCAGTTAAACAATTTCAAACTTTTATTTTATTTTATTATTTTACTTGACTTAATTCTTTATGCAGGGTGTTCGAGCACGAATGGTTGATAAAGATTTTGCACCCAAGGTATAATATCTATTTTTTCCAAGAATCTGTACGTTTTATCAATTCAGTTAACACCAAATTTTTTTGTGCGGAGTTATCTGAAGCATTTTATTCCCAAATTTGCAGTGGGATCCACCTAGCTTAAAAGAAGTACCAGAGGACATGGTTGAATACTATTTCTCTCCATTAAGCGAAGTTCAGTCTGAACTAGTGCTGCCAACAGCTTTGCGAGAACCTTACATGTGAAAATAGCATACCTTTAAGCAATGCTCATCACTAGCAAGGGTAAAACAAATAAGTTCTAATTTTGTTCTTAAACTCCATTAGAAGTATTTAACATAGAACATATTTTTGTTGTATTGGCATAAAAGTGTAGAATTCGCATTTTTATTTTTGGTAGGGTCGGCCGAATTATTTTCATGAAAATGTATATCATTCAATTTTCTTACTCACCACGATGTCAATTCGTTAGTAGGCATGGTAGCGGGGCGAGAGCGGGTTTTACGTTTCCCGTCCCCGTCCCCGCAAATTTAAACCGCCCCCGCTCCCGATACCCATCAGGGATAAAATCTGGGTCTCCATCCCTGTCTCCGGCGAGGTTCGGGTTTCCCCGCCCCGCCCCCGTCCCTGCTCTTATTTTTTTTTTCTTTTTAAATAAATATGAACAATTTAAAAAATAAAAGTAAAATAATATAAATTTTTACATATAAATATTTATAAATTTGGTTTATATATATATATAAATAATTTTTTAATTAT